AAAAACCCAGTCTGTGGAGTCTAACAAGGGAGGAACAAGGCTATTGAGTGCAGACAGCTTCACAATGTGGAAAAGCCCATGGTAATCCTTGAATACTGGATTTGTTTCCTTCTCTGACCCTTGAAATGATTCAAGTCTCACTACAAAATCCCCAGCTGTTGTCAAGCGAGACATGAGAGCAGGGTCTGCAAACAGATGAGATGGAATTGTGACCATTCCTATGGAAAACGAAGAGCGTACAAGGGCCCGTAACATGTAAATAAAAGCTGTAAGACTTTCCCACTGATGGTCCTTCTCATGCTGATTAAATTCCCAACCCCAGAGTGGAGATCCGAGTGAATGCAGGGCTATGCGCATAACATTGGTCTTTGCTTTATTAAAAGATGTTGACAGGTTTCCTGACTCTATTCTTCTCTTAATAAGTTGTAAGAGAGACCAGTAATATTTGTTCTTTACCATTCCCTTTCCTTCTTCTGTGTTTTTACCATCCCATAATTCCACATCTATTTTATCTATGAGACTTGAATTCATTACTTTTGTCAGATCATAACTATGACCAAATTTATTACTACTGATGGGTAAAGATTGTGACTTCTGATTCTGATACCTCCAAGCAATGGTCATCTGTGTGTCTGTCATATCAACAGCTGTGTCCTCTGGGTTGGTGTCTCCTGATGACGGTAAATCTGAAATAATACTTTGAGGAGACATGTCTAAGCTGGCCAAAGTAGTCATGTGTCCATTCATCACCCCTTCAGCAAGGAAGTACTTGAGGAACAGTTTACTATACACATCATATCTATCTTCTTCCACTATGAGTAGTGAACCAACAGGTAGCCCTCCTCCTAACAGGTAATCAAGAGAAGGCAAGCCAGTTGAAATCAGAAGCTGGGCATTATGGAGCGATGGGCGAGTACCTGGAATTGAGACTACCTTCGCTTTGCCTTTTTTCTGAAAACTGCTAACACTACCAGCATGGGACATCTGAAAATTTGAGATATGAGACATGAGCATTAATTTAGGTACTATAAGATTCTTTTGCTATACAATTTTACAATGTACATCTATTCATTTCTTCATATATAATCTATCCATGAACAAATATTTACCTTGATTATTCTCCTTTCTTTGGTTAAGTATTGTTAAATTCTGCTGAGGTAGAGATGCTCCACAATGTAAAATTAGTATTTCTGAGTCTCCATGCTACCACACTGTCCTCACATAATAATTTCAGTCTTTGATAGGTGTCCTCTGGATGTTCTTCACCTAAAAAAGGGGATTTATATAACATATAAATCATATATAATTTAAATCCAGTTATATCTTAAATGGTTTCATTAAAAGTTTACTTTTATGGTAAATCTTAGTTTACTTTTATATTCAATCTTCGTGAAATAAAAAAATAATGAGAGACTGCCAATTGCCTGGAGTTTGGTCCACTTGCACACCACAAGATATTTGGATCAAATAGGCTAAGTAATGAACAGTATACATTATTAACATATATAAAGCATGACTTTATTATATATACAAACCAAAATCATACTTCCTATAAGGAACAATTTGATATTTCAGTTATGCAATTCTACCCTAAAGGTTGGATGTAAGATACTCTGCATATCAGAGTCTTTTCTACTGCCTATAAAGCATGACTTTATTATATATACAAACCAAAATCATACTTCCTATAAGGAACAATTTGATATTTCAGTTATGCAATTTTATCTACTGATAAAAGTCAACATATAATAATCAACACCATGGCCAACAGATTGGTGCTTCTAATAATAATAATAATACAAAAAAAAATGCTCTCAGTATGGCTATGCCAACGAATGACTGCCATACACTACTGAATAATGGCAATAACATTTCTGTTTAGCCACATGTGCATATTGAAGGATCAATGGCCAATTTAAGTTTTTGTGTGGTTTTACTACTTGGAAATTACACAATTTCAATGAATAATTTGGAGCTACAATAATCAACTGTCTTCTGCTTTTCTTTGATATTTCTTCCCCGAAATCAGTAAAAGAAAACAAGTCTTCCTGTGCGCCTTCGAGGATTTGCTACATGAATGTATATACTTCCTATCGCGGCTATTAACAGTAAATGTTAATAAGTTGGAATTGCTCACCTTCTGCAAGAACATGTGTTGATATGTTTTGACTACATAAGGTACTGTATCTCTTGCCCGGACATGATCAACAAAGAATATCTAATACTCCAGCAACTGAGCCAATGAGTTCATATACCCTATTGCCTGTGATCCCTTTTGGAGGTTGCTGGAAAGCGAATTGGAAGGTTATTTACTAGTTGGAAACTGAGGATGTGTGATATTTTACTTGTTTACTGAAGACGTGTGAGTGATATTTTACTTGTCTCTTCTAGTCAATAATGGACAAAGTCCTCTCTCTCTCCTCTCCTTTCTTAAATACTTCAATATTTACGGTACAACGCAAACAAACATCACTATTTTATCTGTCAGTTTGGCTCAAGT